CTAAAGATCAAATAATCAATTAACATTAGATGCATTTCATAAACTAGATGCATTTATAAGTGATAGGCATTATTGTAACTCGTATTGACGATCTTGACCTGCCTTCCTCGCAAGTATTAATAACTTATTGCGTAATGGCAAGTTAGGTTTTTTTTTTAACAAAGACCACTATCAAACTAGTGACGTAATATAAGATTAGTAAAGATTTAAATAATAGGTACCTATGAAATTGCCGTTTTGTATGCAATAAGTGAAAGTACTTATATTTTCAAACTTTTTTATTTCTGTTATTCGAAGTAATCACCCATGCAATCGCCGCATCTTTGCCAACGCATTGGCAGTTTATTGATGCCCTTCTTGTAAAAATTCTCAACAACAAACAACAAACAAACAAGGCAACAAACTCTTCAAAGGCATTTTGTACTGCCTCTCGGGAATTGAATTTTTTACCCACTAAAAAGTTGTCTCAATTTTGGAAAAAGTAATAGTCGGTAGGTATAACAGGACACCTAGCCTTGAACCGACAACTATTCACTATGAATAGGACAGACAGTTCTACATATTTGCAGAAGATGTTCCGAAACAAAAGTAACGGCTGTAACGGCACGTAATCCTGGAAAGCGATGGAGTGGCCATTCAACGTTCTAGTATCATACCTGATACAAAATAACTCCTAGAAGTCTGTAAATTCAAAAGGCTTCTACGTTTCTGGAAGAAAATTCGTTGGCTCACCTACCTTTATTGAGTCTAAATGCGGAAATTAGAGCCCATCACCAATACCAAATATTTTTATTACACATGGGTTATAATTTTTCTTTTTTATGTCTGGCGCTAATTCTTCTTGGTAATGTTGTCATTTTTAGATGGGGTAAAGGAAAAACAGTTATTATTGGGTGTTTATAATAAACAATAAACACCCATATTCGTAATTGTAAAATGAATGACTTCATGATTTTGTATTCCAAATATGTTCATTGATACATTTTTCTATTTCTAGAAGAGTAAAGAGAGAAATGTAATTTAAGTTTGCAATTTTTAAGTAAAGGGTATAATATTGATATATTTTAATCAACTTAATTCAACCTACTATATTCAGCTTAATATTATCGACGACAACTTGTAAGTGACGAATGTTGAGGCGTACTTACGCTTATCTGAATGCATACAAAATAATATGCTTCTGTAATAAACAAACTGAACTGGAATCTAGAAAAATAAGTGGGCGTAACCGAAATCTGTCACCGTAAGATAGTGTTCAAATGTTTGTTTTTAGATAATACACTTTTGACGGATAGATAACAACAATGTAAAGAGTGAACTCAGAAGATTGATTACGAGGTGAATGATGTAAAAAACGGACTGACGCGAAAACAACAAAGTCCACAAATTAAATTTGTTGTTTGTAGCATCTTTTACTTTGATAAATATTTATCAGAAACGTGCTTGAAATCACGGCAAAAGTAAGCAAAAGATATTGGGTACAACATAAAAGGCATTAGGATTTATTCCGCATTAATAAATATGATATCTAGAAGGTTAATGGGTCGTTGTTTGAAAAAATAATTCTAAAATTTACCGTGGAATAACAGTATTTTAAGTATACTGGGAAGTAAAACATAATAAACAATATTCAATCTTTTACGAGACCGTCTGACCGCCTCTTCCGACCGATTTCCTTGATTTTGCTTTTATTTAAAGAACTCACATTGGCAAACACATAGTTAACTTAAACTTTTGACTAACAGTAAAATACAGTATGGGTTGAAAGTAGACAAAGTGACAGGAATTGATGAAGGAATGCTGTGATCGTTTGGACATATTGAAAGGGAATGACGAACAGCGAATGACGTAAGGAATTTAAAGGTCTTCCTTGAGAGGAGGTGTCTTTACGGTTGACCCTGTAAGACCTATTAGAAGACCAGGGTCTCAATTCTGCTATTTTATGTACACGCCAAGCCACTGTCATACCACTGACACGCTATTGAGATGCCATCGAGTGGCCATTGGCATCGGTATAAATATCGTTAGTCTACACTAACTCGGTGTCTTTACAGTGGTGATAGAATGGCAGTGGCTCACCAGGGGTGTTAACAAAAAGATTGCCATATTTGGAAAAATGATTAAATCACTTCATATGATATAATTCAAATTGATTGTCTTTTAAATATGTTGTTTGGATGCCATAAAAATATGTAGTAACTTTATATTTATTTTTAAATATAATAAAATTATAGCCCTACCAACTTAACTGTGAAATGGCAAAAATTGGAACTACGGCCGTCATGTTGAAATGTCATTCGATTGTCAGTTTCTACTACATTCGGGTTCTCTGGTTGTTTTGTCGTGATATTGCTGAATTTATTAAGTTTAATATGCCGCAAGCTATTAAAAGTGATGCTCGAAACATTATTCTAAAGGTTAAAACCTTTTTTGAAGAAGAAGCTCGGGCGGGGTCTCCGATTATTCCATTTAATCAAATATACAAACAAATTTCGGCAGCGACAGGTTAGTGTTGTCAACTTTCTTGTTATAAATTACCCGGTACTTAACTAATTATTTAAGTCCACGAAATATTCGTTTCTATTCTTGCTGCAGGTTAGCGTAACGGTAACGTACATCTATTAGGTAACCCGCTAAGTGAGTGAGCCGACTAACCTGCCAGATTTCAAATTTCTACTAACATTTATTTTGTTATCTTATATTTCAGGTGTGAGTCAAGGACTAATTTCAAAAATAGTTAAGGAAGAGCATGCAGCAGAAGAAACTGGTACAAAAATTCGGACACCAGGCAAGGAGAGAAAACGTAAAAGTGGATTTGTGCAAGTTGATGATTTTAACATGGGAGTTATACGGAGGAAAGTACATGAATTTTATTCTGCCAAAAAAGAGGTCCCTACTGTTAAAAAGCTTCTAGAGGTCTTAAAGACAGAAATAAATTACACAGGACAGCGAGAGAGTCTGCGAAAGCTGCTTCACAAGTTGGGATTTCGTTTTAAAAAATCTCAATCCAATCGAAAGGTTCTTATGGAGCGTAATGAAATATCAGCTTGGAGAGCTAAGTACTTGCATGCAGTGGATAAAAATAATAAATCTCCCCAGCCCCGGCCCATAATTTATTTAGATGAGACCTATATTCACTCTTCGCATACATCGGGTAAATGTTGGCAAGGAGACGGTGAAGACGGAGTATTGGAGCCTGTATCGAAAGGGCAAAGATATATTATTGTTCATGCGGGAGGAGATACTGGATTTGTTACAAATGCACTACTTGTGTTTAAATCAAACACAAAAAGTGGTGATTATCATGACGAGATGAATAGTACCAACTTTAAAAAGTGGGTTATTGAAAAACTTGTGCCTAATTTACGAGAGCCATCCATAATAGTGATGGATAATGCTCCTTATCACCGTATTTGTGTGAATAAAGTCCCAAATACGAATTCTTTAAAAAAAGATATGCAATTATGGTTGACCCAAAATAAAATTGACTACGGAGAGAATTTGACTAAACCTCAGCTTTTAGAAATAATTAAGAGAAACAAGCCTGAACCTGTATATGAGATTGAAAAAATTTTAGAAGACAATAGACATAAATGCTTATATTTACCATCTTATCACTGTGATCTCAATCCCATTGAACTCATATGGAGCACAATGAAAAGAAAAGTTGCTGATGTAAATATTGAGCACAAAAATGCTGAAATTCCCTGCCTAGTTAGAGAAGCTTTTGACGCTATTACAGTTCATGAGTGGGCACAGCATTGTAAACATGTTCGCAGGTTAGAAGAAGAATATTTAAAACATGATTTGTATTTAGATAAACCTTTTATTATAGAAGTTGTAAGTGAGACTAAAACCGAAAGCGATAGTGATAATGATGATAGTGGTACGGAAATAAGCGGAGTATGGCCTCACAACCAGGATAAAGTTGTGTATGCAGGTTCATTTAAAGATCACAATTACTGTAAACCTGGTTTTCAATAAATTATTATAAAGCAATTTGTTTTTTTTTATTACACTACACTACCACTAGGTACCACTGCTAATTATAATTAGTCAAATCTGGTGTTAGGGGTTAGTTACGGTCATAACTAAATGCTAGACATCCAGGTACCTCTTGCAGGGTAGGTACCTACTTCGCATTAAATGAAAGTTGTATCTCTCCCGTGGAACATTTTATCTGCTGAATTTCCACTTCATTGCATTACTTTTTAGATAAAGCCATTGTTTATTGCTGAGAGACTAAACTGTTAGCGTACCTATGCAACTGTAAATTATCAAATTCTTTTTATTTATTTTATTATTTTTATAGAGGTATCATTATTTTTAATTTGTTTTGTTTTTAATTCTTATTAAACGATTATGCCTAATGTGAAATTTCTTTCTTGAAAACTTACTCAATTTTGGACACCTTATATTAATTAGCAACACTGAATCGACGGTGCCGTCCTCTTTCAGTTCACAGATAAGTTGGTAGGACTGTACGCCGTAGTCTACCCTAAGTCAGATTTGACAATATTCGTATAGAGGTTGTCTGTAAGAGATCGCCGTGAGCTAGCTAAGACCTCCTATTGCCATAGCGAAATGTATTTAATTTCAGTACAAATAAGTACTGTAGCGCTGTACAATAAAGTAAATAAAAACATCTTAAGAAATATAATGTCTACATATCTATTATCAGTTCCGTGTGGTGACGGATTAAGAAGTAGTGTCACCACCCATGTACATCCCGTGGGTGTCGTAAGAGCAGACTAAGGGAACCAACTACGCAGGACAGCAGCACTGCAAAGAGAAGGACATCTTGAAACAATCCCTATACCAATCCTGGCCAGTGGGGTATAGTAGGCCAAAACCCCTTTTCTAAAGAGAGGCCTATGTCCAGCAGTGGACTAGTAAAGGCTGTTGATGATGATGATGATGATGATGATGATGATATCCATTATGAATGAAGCCCTAACAATCCTGCTTCTGAATTCTAATTATTTGCCCGTTTGTTGCAGCATCGCTCTCCTATAAAGTAGGTAAGCAGATGATCTCGCTAGCTGAGGGTATGCCCAACGAGAACGTATTTCCCTTCAAACGGTTACTCCTGGATAGCAGTTGTGGTGAGCCACTGGAGCTAGAGGGGAAAGAGCTAGCGGCTGCACTGCAATACCTGCCTTCCCAAGGGTGAGTAAAAGAATACGCTTTTGTGAAAATTCTAACTGTACCCTGCCACACTTCGCTGTGGCACATTGTGGTAGCATTGTTGAAAAATGAGGAACGAACCTGACGGAAAAATTGCTGAAAACCGTTCTCGAAACGGTTTATACATCGTGTCAAAATTTGAGATTAATCGGTGCAGAACTTCTTGAATGTTTGAAGCGTACTTAATTTTTATATACTTATATCTATAAAAGAAGAAACTGTCAGACTGATTCACTGACTGATCAATCAAGGCCAATTGAAACCGCTGGGTCTAGAAGCATAAAATTTTACATAAATGTTCCTTGTTATAAAATAGGTTTGGGAATTTGTACATGCATATTATAGAAGAGAAAATCTGAGAATTCCAAAGACTTGTAATGTGATGTCATACATTGCACCTGTGCGAAGCCGGGGTGGGTCGCTAGTATATGTATAAACTAACTACTTCTCGTGGCTTTGCTTGCTAATAGAGTTATTTTTATATCTCCAATGAACAGTACTAGTAGGTACATAATAATGACGGGCCTGTTGGTGGTTAGTGACCCTGACTGCTAAACCGGAGGTCGCGGGTTCGCTTCCCACCCAGGACAAATATTGTGTGATGAGCACGGTCATTTGTTCTGTGTCTGGGTGTTATTTATCTAGAATATGTATGTATTTAAAGATATACTCGTATAAGTATGTTTATCAGCAGTCCGGTTACCATAGTACAGGCTCTGCCTAGTGTGGGATCAGACGGCCGTGTGTGAGATGTGTGATATATATTAATATATTATAAAATATTTTTGTTAATATTCATGTATCATATAGTATGTTAATACATTCTGACTGCCTCGGCGGTGCAACGGTGGCGTATGTATAATATGTACGAGTATGTATTTACTAAAAAAAAGTAAATATATAAAAAATTCTATCAGGAAATCTAGTTTTCGTAGTACAAGCTCTGCTTAGCTTGAAACTAGATGGCGTTGTGTGTCAGATGTCCCTTATATTATTATTATTATTCAGGGTAACATGTACAATGGTCTCTTTTATTAATACACACTGCTGTTCGACTTGAGCCGCACTTACCATAATCATGTCCATAGTCATGTCCATAGTCTCGAAACAGTCGGAACTGTGTTCCACGCGGTCCCTCAAGGTAACGTTCTTGGACCTTAATCCTGACGACGAATCCTTCTTTACTACTTCTTTTCTCTGTACTCTCAATTATTCTTACTTGTGTTTTGACCTCTGTTGTGATATTACTGTAATGATAGAATCCTTGCACAGATATTTGGCTCTATATTTCTTCCACTGCTGGACATAAGCCTCTCCTTATAAAGGAGGTTTTGGCCTAATATACCACGCTGACCAGACGGGTTTGTATAGGGTTTGTGTCAAGTTTTCCTTCTCTCTGCAGTGTTGTTGTTCTGCAGTGGACTATTAAAGGCTGCTGATGATGATGATGATGATATTTCTTCCACCGCGGCCTGCAGATTTGGGTCCTTGCGATTTGATTTCATTGATTGTTGCTCTATCCATGTTAAACATTATTTCTACTCGTAATACCGGACGATAAAAGGTTAAGTGTCTAAATAAAAATGGTGCAAAATATACCTAGACAAAACTTACGAACAAAGAATGAGGAAAACAATGCAATTTTTTTTTTGTATGAATATTCATTAATTGTATAATGTTTAATTACTATACATTTTTATTTAATTATTTTTTATATTTAAATATAATGGATGAAATATTTAACAAATTAATTTAATTAAATATAACATTTTTAGGTTGCTTATCAAGCAAGTTATCAACTAAACAGTCATGTTAGAATGATTATGACGATATGTTATTGCATTTTGATATTGTAATTATTTAACAAAACGTTGTATTTACAGAATGTGTTAACTAAATATTAATATTTTCTCATATAATTTATATTTTTCTACTTTTTAAGTTTTATTTTTGTACTGATATATCATTTTCACTGAATTTGTAAGGGTAGTCATCGATGGCGAAGGATAAAGAAGCTGTCTTATTTCGTGGGACAGCCATGCTTCTGCACAAACGACCCGGCATGACCGGCTGGTGTTAAGCAAATCTTTCGTTGGTTTTCATCGAGTGTGGTGAGGTTACCGTACCTCAAACCCCACTCTCTATCCCCTCTCCCTGATTGGTGTCCATGGGCAGCCTTTCTCTATAAAAAACATACCTACTTTCATCTTACATTTACACTTCCCACATCGGTATAAACTGCCGCACGCTTTGCCTTTCTGCCGTCTTTTACCAGTAATGCCATAAAAGGACCAAATAATATTAATAACGGTGAATATTTGAATCAAGGGTCTGACGAAGAAGGCAATTCTCCTTGACACATCCTGTATAGTGAGGAGATTCCTGTATTTGGAGTCCTAACCACTGGTGTCTTGGTCCCTGTACCCGATGTTGGTGGTCTACTGTTTTTATATTTATAAATGTATTTTTTTTCTTTTTATAAATGTATTTAAAATATATTTAAAAATTTAATCAATAGGTATATATAATGTAATAAAGAGAATAATAGTAAAAATATTTCGGACATTTAACACACAACGCCATCTAGTTTCAAACTAAGCAAGAGTTTGTACTATGAAAGCTAGATTGACTATATAGATATTTTTTTTTTGTAAATACATACATATTGTACATAAAAAAAACAAACTCCAATAAACTTTAACTCTGTTATTTAATTCCTCTTTTTTAGACTACCATCCCTCCTAACAGAGCTTCGCAAATTTCAAGACGATTTGCATCGTCCACCGCAACTTCCACGAGATATTCTGGTCACCAACGGCAGTCAGCACGGCATCTACCAGTGTGTGGAACTATTGGTAGATCCGGGAGATCCAGTCATCACTACTGAGTTCGCGTACACCGGAATTCATAGTACGGTAGGTGATAAGTTCAAACTCAAATTCAAACTCTCTTTCTTTCATAAAATTTTTAAAATTGTTTGAAATCCCTTCATTATTGTGACGGTTGAGCAAAGAAATACAGCAGTCAATGCGTGTTTGCAAGTTCGATTCACTCAATGCATGAGGTACCCATCGTTCAAGTTTTTTTACTTTCCTGATTTGCTTCAAGTGGATTAATACAGTTTTATCACTTACCCCGAAGCCTGCAGCTATATCTGAAGTTCTTTGTGATGGATCCGCTTCCACAATAGCCTTTAATTCTTCATTTTCCACTTTGGTCTCTTGCCGACCGAAGGTCGAAATTTCCAGAACAAAAACGTTGAAACAAAAAACGTAACGTGCTTTCTTTTGCGACACCAGCGCCGTACAGATCATTAATCCTTCGAGCTGTTTCTGCAGCACTGGTGCCACGGTAGAACTCATACTCGTAAATATACCGACATTTCATGTTTTCCATTGTGCAGTAATAAGCGACGCCAAAGAAAAAACTAATGAGGAAAAAACAAATGAATGACAGTTTTCAAAACTCAAATGTGCCAGCTAAATGAATTTATAAATTTTGAATTTGGAATTCTTAACCAAAGAGGAGATATTTCAGATCAAAGTGGTCAGTGCGACAAAACGCTAATTTCATATGTAAGGACCTAACATATTTATTTCAATTTCATAAAGGACATTATCATTGCCAAAACAATTTCAACATAGTTAAAAGACAGCAGTTACATTTGGTGAAGAATATACCAGACGTCTGTTAATACCTGGTAGATTTAGGTATTAGCATTCGTCGGGTATATTTTTCACCTTTAGTCATTCCATTGTTAGGCATCACTGATTTAATGACGATCCAGTTGTGCTAAACATTTTATTAAATAATCTAAATCTTATATTATTTTCCAGCTGAAACCTTACCAACCAGAAATAATTGGCATACCAGAAGACGAAGATGGTCTAATTCCAGAAACCTTAGACTCTGTTCTTGGTGAACGGCTGCGCTTAGGACTGAAGATGCCCAAAGTTCTGTACATCATTCCTACCGGCAGTAATCCATCTGGAACAGTGTTACCTGAAGCTAGAAGGAGACAGATATACGAGTTGTCTTGCAAATACGACTTTTTGATTCTTGAAGACGATCCTTACATGTTTTTGAATTATACTGATGTAAGTAATAATAATAATATATCGCTTTATTGTACACCAGATATGAAAATACAATAATTACCTTAAACTAGGTTAGTATAGATAGTTCAACTCAGTTGTGCGCGCGGCCCTATGTGTGCGTGGGCTTGTATTCGTCTTGCTCGGACGACGACTGCCGCGTCACTGCCACACGAATGAAAGTTGTATATTTACAAGCCCATATCATTATCTATACAAGTACTGATACAGCACAAGAATCATGTACCGTTTTGTTGTAAAGAAAAAATAAAAAAGTTCTCAAGTTTTCACTTCTGTCGGCACTTCCGGAGTGCCACTCTTTTTTTTACGTAACAGGGGGCAAACGAACAGACGTGTCACCTGATGGTACTCGACTACCGCCGCCCATGGACACCTGGAACTCAAGAGATACAAGTGCGTTACCATCCTCTTCGTGCCTCACGTTTGATTACATACAAATTGACAAACCTGTTGACCCTGACTGCTAAGACAGAGGTCGTGGGTTCGATTCAATTCGACAAATATAATGAATGTATTTAGAAATATTTAAATTTATTTATCAACCCTCTGGTTACTATAGAACAGACTAAGCCTAATTTGGGATCAGATGACCGTTTGTAATATGTGTAAGGTTGCTTTTTTAAAAAAAAACCAGCCCAATGGAAATTAAGAACTGAAGAAGAGTTTATTGAGATTCCTCATGACGTAATCGCATTGAAGTTGAAAAAACGTTTTATTAGTTGATTACAGCAACAACCTTTATTAGTCCTCTGCTCTCCTCAGAAAGCAGATTTTGGTCTACTATACCGCGATGGCCAGACGGGTTGGTATAAGGTTTGTGTCAAGTTTTCCTACTTTTTGCAGTGCTGTTGTCCTGCGTAGTTTGATCCCATAGTCGGCTCTCACGACACCCATGGGATTAATAGGGGTGGTGACATTCCGTATGGCGTTCCGTAGACGACCGGGAAGTGTAGTGGTTTGTGTAACGGAGTGCTAATCCAAAGGTCGCGGGTTCGATTCCCGCTCAACTCACCATTTACGTGCATGAACATTTAATGTTTGATTTGGTCTGAGTGTTAATATGTAAAATATGTATGTATTTACAAAAAAAAAAGTATATATGTATTTATATCAGTTGTCTAGTACCCATAGTACAGGTTCTGCTTAGTTTAGGATTGTGTGAATGTGGTAGAATATTATTTATTATTATGTTATTCTTAATCCGTCACCACACTTATGAACAGTTGATAATTTAACGCTAATCTCTTTCCTAGACACAAGTACCTTCTTTCTTATCAATGGACACACACGGTCGCGTGATCAGACTAGACTCGGTGTCCAAGGTGGTAAGCGCTGGTCTGAGGGGCGCGTGGGTAACAGCCCCGATCCCACTACTGGAACGATTGGAGCTACATATGCAGGCGGAATTGTTGCATTCTTGTACATTGTCCCAGGTAAATATATTCTTATTTCGTATTTTTACACGCTTTATATTAGCTTCACTTGTATGTTTGTTTGTATGTATGTTTGTAACCGACTCCTTTTGGCGTGATTTTGACTGACTTTAAACGGTCAGAATTCGTTCAAACTTTGTAGATATATCGTTTATTCGAAAAATTGTTTTAAAAAACTAAAAAACACGCTTTTAAGTCAAGAAAATAAATTTTAATACTTTTGAAAAAAGTGTTGGGTGCCTGTTGTCAATAGTAAAAAGCACCCCACGCTTTTTTTCAAATTTATTAAAATTTATTTTCTAATTTTTAGTTTGGTTTTTTACAAAAAGCGTTTTTTAGATTTTTGAAACTATTATTTTTATTTTTGAAAATGATGAACTTTCAGAGAACCGTTCATCACTTATTTTACAAAAAAAAGGGGGTAAAATTTGCAAAAATCCTTTCTTAGGGTGCTTAGAGGAGGAGCATTAGCTGCTAAAATTTCAAGTTTGTAGCCGCAGCGGTTTTTGCTCTGCGTTCACGAATCATTCAGTCTGTTAGGACAGATAATTTTATATGCATAGATTTGTATTATCATACAAAATTATATGTCACGCAAAAAAATGGACAATGGTGCAAATTCCGTTGTTCGAAAACTCACAATTTTTTTTTGTCCTGTCAAACAGCGTTTCGTATTTTGAAAACGTAGTACCTGACAAGACTAAACAATTTTTTTTTGTGATTTCTAGTTTCGTTTAGCGAGTTTTCAAACTATAGAGTTAGTATCAATCTGCTTTGGTCTACCACCAAACGATCTCTAGTGTGTATAAACATACTTAGATATATATATATATATATATATATTATGTAAACAAAACATATATAAAAACTTACATAATAGAAATATCAGGTTAAATGATAATAATCATGTATGCATATTATTGCATATATTTGTGCATTGTAGTTATCGAACCTGTGACCTTTGAAGTCGCGATAAGAGGCTCTATCACTCCACTATTTTAAACAAATATATGATTTATTTTAAACATTAACGTCTGTTTTACACTGAATTAAAATCTGTAAAATTCATTACCAGGATTCATATCAGCCAATCTAACTTTCATAGTACAAGATCTGCTTAGTTTGAAACTAGATGGCGTTGTGTGTTAGATGTCTGAAATATTTTGTTATATAATAATGTTAAACATGGCAGTCTCATCCCGAACTGGTCAGAGCCTGACTCAGAACAACAATTTGTGGATCACACAAAGTGTCGTAACATGTGGGGATGGAACCCACAACACTCAGCGCAGTAGAAAGCGGCAAGGTGACCGCTTAAACCACTACGCCATCCGTGCAGCCACAATTGATTACTGACACTTTATTTTACGTATAGAAAACATCAGTACAGCTTCAACGAACATCTGCGACGCACAAATGTATGGCAGTCCCAGCAGCATTCTGAAAGCATTATTGTTCCATACAATACTTTTAACACGTCTGCCTACCCTTAGTATCAGGCATGAAAGTATACATATCTACGTCTTTCTATTTCAGACAATACTTCTGCAAGTCCTCAGCAGCCGTTCATCATTAGCTCGTCACCTGATCGGAGCGCGCCAGTTCTACCTCAAACGGCGAGACGCATTGAACTCGGCCTTGGAACCAATTTCGGATCTTGCTCCATACTCTGTACCTAAAGCTGGGCTGTTCTTCTGGATCAGGGTCAACGGAGTGTCAGATGTATTTAATATGGTGTGTTTCTGGTTTTTTTATTAGTTGAATAAGTGATCTGTAAAGGGATCTTAGATTCATCATCATCATCATCATCATCAACAGCCTATAACAGACTGGACATAGGCCTCTCCTTAGAAAGGAGGTTTTGGCCTACTATACCACGCTGGCTAGACGGGTTGTTTTTCTTCAAAATTAATCCCGTGGGGATCTTTGATTATTTATTAAATATCTAATACATATAAATCGGGCTAAAAACTATTCTATGTCCTTTCCCGGGACTCGAATTATCTCTATTCCAAAGTTCATCTCAATCGGTTCAGCGGTTTAAGCGTGAAGAGATAACAGACAGACAGACACACTTTTATATTTATAATATTAGTATGGATGATATTAGAATTGGCTTCTTTTTAACCTAATCCATCTGGTATTTGACCTTCATAAGTTGAAATTTTTATAGTCACTTACGGTGAGGAGATTGAGATTTTCTACACAAAATTAATATTTGAAACCAAACTCTGTGTATCTGTAACTCATCCAACAACACAACAAATAATTAATTATTGTACGTAAAAATTCTGACAAATAATTATGACATGAAGTGTCATAATACTGACAATTAGTTGTGACATGAAGTGTCATAATTAATTGTCAGAATTTTTCCTCAAGTCTTTATCTACTTACTTCTCTAAACAAATTAATTCTACATTTATTATTGCCAGTCTGTGAGACTAAATCTCTACAAAGTGTATTACTTTGTTGTGAACCTTTTACAAACCAATTAGAAAGTTCATTTATTCACTCCGATGTGGGATTGGTAAGGAAGAGAGAGTTTGTTAAACAAAAGTTTTGTTCTCCCATCTATCTATTATTTTCTTTATTGTATTTTTATTAATTCGCTGAACTGAAGATATTTGACTTTGACTGCACTAACCCCTATAAACCTCTGGCAACTCATTTGCCACCAAAACACGTCATAAGATCAACGTGTTTATTGCAGACTGTACCAGCTATCTTCGATATGCTGTAAAAAAGTTTAGATAACGGCCATGATGCTGCATTTAAATATATTTTTTAATTGTTACAGGTATTTCACACAGCTCTCCAGCAAGGTCTCATGTTAGTTCCCGGACAAGCTTTCTTATTCGACAGTAGCTCTCCCTGTCAACACGTGCGATTAACATTTAGCCGAGTGCGATTCGAGGATATGGAAACCGCTGTACGCCGCCTAGCAGATCTAATCCGTAACGAGCAACAAATAAAGAAGAAGATGTATGCTAATGACGGGTAGATGGCGCTGTATTTAATTATAATGTTATGCTACTATCGTTATAGATGGCCCTGAAGAATGAAAAACATTCTTAGGTTTCTGTGAGAGAAAAACTTTGAACTTTTACTTTTACTTCTTGTTTCTACTTAATAAGTAAAGTCCTGAAATTATCAGCATAAAGGTGTAAGAAGTTTTTTATGTATCTTGTAGACTGTTATGTGAATGTTTATTACATTTATTTGTATTCTATTAGGATTATTCTAATATCGAAAAAAAATTAAATAGAATAATTACAATATTTTTCTTTTTAAATTCGTTGTAAGTAAATTTTATTTTTACTAAGTGAGGATAAATCTTTTATATTTAAATTTTTTTCAAATTTAAACAAGAATTTTAAAGAAATAGAAACTCTTTGGTTTCATTAACTTAACCCCGTTGTTGTATATTTACGTTTATTAGTTTTTATCCTTAGCTTTTAAGATTCATAATTTATTTCTTTACTAATCATTATCATCATCAACAGCCTTTAATAGTCCACTGCTGGACATAAGCCTCTCCTGAGAAAGGAGGTTTTGGCCTACTATACCACGGTGGCCAGACGGGTTGGTAAATATATCTTTACTAATATATGTATATAAATATTACCAACATAATGTGTTAAGAATATTTTTAACCTATTTGTATTAACTTTGAATAAAAAATCATAAGGTAAATTTAAACCTTTGTGTTTTATGCTTACTATTCGATACTAGATGGCGGTAGGTTAATCATATATTATTGTATAGTGATTACCGGCTAAGGACTATACTGAGGGATATTTTTACGTAGATTCACAAACTTCAGTATATCTCTTATTACTGATAGAATGTTATATAATTCATTATACGAATATAAAAATAAACTTAATTTATAAATCTCAATATGATTTTATTAATCCAAATAAACGATATTCATAAACTGTTCGTAATGTGAGGATTGAGTATGCATTTCATCACATGAAATTTGGTACTAACTGATAATGGTTTGACTTGTTGTAATATTGTTCAGGTTTTCCTCCGAGCCTTTTTTCCCAAGCTAGGTTGGGGTCGGCTTTAAGTCTACTGGGATACGGCTCAATTTCTATTGTTTACATGAGCCAGTTCTGCACAAACCAACTGCTAGACGATATCGAAGTTCTCTAAAAAGACTGTTGACGGACTTTTTTGGGCTCCAAGTACCCCTAACGATGGCCACAGATGTTCTTATGGCAACCAGGACCAGGGGCTTAACGTGCTCTCCGAGGCACGGAGGTGTCTCAATATGGTAAGAAATGACCACCCATCAATCATCATCAACAGCCTCTAACAGTCCACTGCTGGACATAAACCTCTCTTTAGAAAAACGGTTTTGGCCTACTATACCACGCTGGCCAGACGGGTTGGTATAGGGTTTGTGTTAAGTTTTCCTTCTCTCTGCAGTGCTGTTGTTCTGCGTAGTTTTTTTCCATAGTCGACTCTCACGACACCCACGGGATGAAAAGGAGTGGTGACACTCTGTATTCTTAATCCGTCACCACACGGATTGCTTCATTTTACAATGTGCTATATTACAGTGTCAGTCTCGTGTCTTTATAAGAAATTTAGGCTACTTCTTACTCTGGCTCTCTCGCTCTATTCCTTTTCAACACTCTAACAAACCTTCTTCCTTTTTCCGACATCATCATCATCTCCTAAATTTTCTCTGGAATGGGCATAATGAGTTTCGTCTCCCATTCTCCTCTGTCACTCGTCAGTTCACTGCTTACTCCCTTCCTAGTCATATCCACTTTCAACCAGTTCAATAATCTCTTCTTTGGTCGTCCTCTACTGTTACATACGAGTAAGTCAACTGCCAAAATAAAGTTTGTTTCGAGCAGGTGGCCAGTTATTAAACAAATCATGCAAAACTCTTCGAAATGTGCCAAGATTGAGAATTGGCAGGAAAATGATTGAGGTCTGAACAACAGTCTGCTCATCATATCCTCTGGGAATGTAGTCTT